TCTAAAATGACCATGGTATATATGAAACCTAAATTAATTGTATTTTTTGAACTGAATCCCATTCCCTTCATAAATATTTATGGATGAGAATTCCAAATTCTAAAATCTCAGAGATCTGAAGCCCTGTGAGCATAAGCTTCTGGATACAGGACACTCACCTTACCCTGTTTCCCTTTCTCGCTGTTTATCTTTTCCAACACTGTCCAATTACTAATGTCTTGGGTAATTTATGTTTTTTTGTAAATAGAGGTTTTACTGTTTTGCCATGTCCCACAGTGATTCTAAATAATCACTCAGAGGCTTAATATTAATGCTCAACCAATAGCTCAAACTTACTACTAGTTGACTCTTACATTTAAATTAACCCATATTTCTATGCTCTGCCATGTGGCTCAAGGCTTGTTACCTCATTTTCTAAACATCCTGCTTGTTCCGCAACTGGCTTGTATCACCCCTGATTTTGTACCTCTTCATCAGAGTTCTCAGTTTGATTATTCTGCCTAGCCTTATCCTGCATGGTCATTGGGTGTTGAAATACGAGCGGCAGGGCTGCGTCCCCAACACCCTGGCCGCTTGGCTAGCTTATGCCCGAAATAACAACACACAAACTGTATTCATTTAAGAACTGCTTGGCCCATGAACTCTAACCCTCACAGGCTAATTCTCGCACCTGGACTAGCCCATTTCTAATGATGTGTGTAAGCACCCCAAGGTGCGCTTACCGGGAAGATTCTAGCCTCCGTCCATCCTGTCCGGGAGCAGAGCAGAGTCTGACCTCACTTCCTCTTCCGCCCAGAATTCTATTCTGTTTACTTCTCCCACCAATGCTTTAACCTATGAGGCCAAGCAGTGTGTTTATTACTTAACCAATGAAATCAACAGATTGATATATGACACTCCCACATCAATTGGGCAAACAGCTTTTATTATTAACCAATAAGAGGAATAATGCATACACAAAGCATCCAGGAAGATCGTCCCACCACAGTTTTTTGCTTTGTTTCCTTAATTAGTTGATTTTCCTTTTATAGAAATTTTCCATATCAGTGGCTGAGTTTAGAATAATTGAATTAAAATTAATGGAATTCAAACAGATTTGTTAATATAACCCCTATCATCAAACTAGGAGATTTTTAATCAATGCATTTATACCCACTAGATGTTTCTACAAGGAGCAGAATTCAGGGTCATCAGCAAACTCTTATTTGAGGCTTTCCTCTTTGTCCATTCCGTTTGCATTAGATATAATGGGTCCACAACTCAGTCCCTGTAGACACAAACACAGTCTTCTCACCATTTGTTAAAACACTTTGTCTTCCCTCTCCGTATAGTGAAGGATTATATCCCTTGATCTTATAGTGTTTAAGTTGTACCAATAAAATTGATATTTTAAAAAGGAAATTATAATAGTTCCTTTAAAGGCCATAAATTTGTTTTCTTAGAAAGTAGTAATAATCAAACTAGGTATGATAACATAGTCCTATAATTCAGAGTCTGAAGCAGGAAGACAACAAGTTCAAGGCCAATCTTGGCTACACAATGAGAATCGGTCTCAAAGAGGGAGAAACATAGATTTATAATCATAGAAATGTCAATAAGTTATCAATCGCTTTATACATGTCAGATACATATGTGTGATGTATATATAAGTTATTTTCTCTTTGAAACTAACAATTGGGGGTGTCCCAGACCACAGTGTCCTCATTATATAGATGAGGAAACTGAGGCTTGGCATCTTGGTTTAAATAACTCAGACAGACATCGGACTTACAGTCAGTCGCTCTTGGGAGAAAAATTTGTCCTCTGTCCTTAATCCTTTCTCTCCAGTTGAGAGGGTGGAGCCTGTGTTGAGTAATATTAATGTAAATCCTGTCCATTTGTCTTGGGATGAAGGAATAAGACCTACAGATATCCGCAGCACACATTGCATCTTCTGATTCCTCTTTGTCAGTAGAAACCAGTTGAAGTGCTTAGTGTCTAGATTCACAGAGTAGCTATCCGTAATGACACTGTTATCTTTATCCAGTGATCTGTGGCTTTTTCCACAGTTCTGTCCAGAGCTCTCAGACTGACAGTGGTTGGTCCCAGTGACTGTTGAGTCATCTCTGTCACGTAGACCTTAGGGACTTCAGCTAGCTTAGTACTGTTGGCCTGGTGTTTGTAAGCATCTCCCAGAACAACTATTTTGATCTTAGGGAGCTTTAACCACGTGTTTGTGCTGTGATACTTATCCCTTATGGGTCCCATTTTTGTCTGTTTCTTGGTTTGTTTTACCTTCCATTTCCAGAATATTATTTCTACCTTATTTTCTGTATTTTCCTTCTTAGTCTCCATTGCCACTCACATAGCACGATTTCTGCATTGTTCTCTGAACCTGAACAACTGGACCCCAAATACAAATTGCACTCTGGGGTTTATCTAAAAAAAACATTAGCAGCATGTTTCACATCTTTGTAAAACTTTCGATTTTGAGATAGGTATTGAGGTATTTTGAGATAAATAAGAGTGTATGTACTGTCCTCCTTGCTGTATCTATGTCCCACGAAGTGTATACATATAGACATTTCTACACAACAAGCAAGTACTTATAAGATGGTGGTGATTCTCATTTCACAATCAATAAAACATGTTAACATATCTATGTGGCATCATATTGCATATGCCTTTCTTTGCATGCAGAAAAAACTTAGGGATAAATTTTTATAAACTTAGGGCATGATCTATGTAAAGATTTGAAAGTCATCTTTTTTAAACAGATCTAAGTTTCTGAGATTGTATGCATGCTTATTATAGTTTATAAAATTAATCATTCACTGTGTGTTTTTTTATCCTATAGTGATAACCTTTTTTGAGTATTCTAAAAGTTGTCAAGAATCTTAGTTAGAGAATTATGACTGTTGTGTATAAGAAAAATTGGAAGTTTACCTTGATAAAAAAAGTTTACTCTAAAATGTACAAGAGGGAATTTCATATAGAAATTAATTTTAAAACCTAAACTTTTCTAAAATTTTAGTAGTTTTGAATAAGAAAGAAAACAGTATGAATGACTTTGTTGATTTCAGAAACACAAGATTAATAATTACTAAAATCGTGTTTTACATCAAATTTATTATGGTTTACAAAAAAAGTTTTGAGTAGATTTAAAGAAATATTTATAGAATATAAAAAAGTAAATTCCATAGAAGCCAATATCTATAAAAGCTACATATGAGCTGAAATCTTGCAGTCTGCCCTAGACTAAACACTAATATTTTATATCTTCTATATTAAGTGTGGGTGATAATCACAGGTATAGATTTGCTTGATATATTTTTCAGGAGAGCCTTGTGTTGGTCGGCAAAATTCTAAGAATTATAAAGGGAAAGGTAACATGTTTTACTGGATTTTATAAGAGTTTAGTCACAGTTTTTAAGATTTTTAAATTGGAATCTTTGGAGTTGGTCTTCTTTTGATCCTTATAACTGTAAATCTAGTATCATATATGTATCATCAAAGCCCGTACAAGTTTCTGTGCCCACCAAGTGTTTTGTGTTTGGGCTTGCAGTGCACATCGGTGCCCATCCAGATGCACCTATGTTCATAGCTGTGCTCACTCACATAGAAACAAGTCCTTCGTTCTCTGTCATCATGCTTAGGTGTGTTTGCTCTGTGATTTGCTCACAGGCCTCTTATGTAGCCTGCTTGACTGAACAAGTTGAATGTCCCGGCAGTGTCTGAGTGAAGATGATTTGAAATCTATTATCAGTTTTGAAATTGCATCGTCTTCCCGAAATGCTAGAAACTGTCTTGCTTTTATTTTATCTTGTTATTATTAATGTTTTTTAGTTCTTATTGATAATAAGGTTTCAAGGAAATGCATTAACAATAAGCCTGGTCTGCTGACTAGCATATACTTAATGGATTTACTTTAGATTGCTGATAATTTTAAAAATTATTTCATGCAGGGTGGATTCATCAGACACTTTGTTTTCTTAATACTGTTTTCAACTTTCCAGCAAGGAGCCAAATTTTTACCATTTTCAGTTTGGAGCAGAAGAGTAGCCGAGGCGGCAGTGGCTCCTAATGTGACATCTAGTTTCAGGTCATTTTCATGTGAATGGAAAAAAATAGATTTCCATAAATGGATGCTTGTTTCAACTTTCTCATTCTCCTCTGGCAATTTTGTCTTCTCTCTCTGGGATTACAGGAGCCAATAATTGTTCACAGTTATTATTTTTCATCTTTACGGAAACTTGCTAGCCCCGGTCCCTGTGACCTGGAAACTTCCAGCGCAGTCCGCATTTCAGTCACGCACGCTCCCTGTTAGCGTTTCTCACTCATCCTTGCCTAAGCTGAGCGAGGTTAGGCAGGTCAGACTTTCTATAATACGTTTTCTCTGTTTCTTTGCAACTTCTCCTCTTCCTTAAAGATATAAATAAATAAACCAGGAGGTGAAAACTTGGAATTGTTCCATTGAGTAAAATTGATGCAAGCTTTGATTTCTGTTGCTTTGAACATGCCCAGCTGTGTTGCCAACTGTGGCTTCCTTGTCATTATAAACTGCGATTCAGTGCATTTTTTCATAAATAATTTTATTTCCTTTTTTTTAACCTTTTCTGGGGAAAAATTCTACTTCAAGCCTAAGCACGGATATACTTATTTCTGTGTGTTTATGGTCTGTACAGTCATTTTCAAGAAAGTCTCATCAGGGAGAGATTTCTTTCTGTGCACCTCTTTGTATCTCTGTTGATTTGTGCAGATTAAGTGGGAAACTGTTTTAGCGGTGAGTTATTTCTCAACTTTCTTTCTGCAAAGAAGATTCAGATAAGAAATCAGAGAGTCTTTTAACATGCTTGTTTTGTGGATCCTCAAGCACATCAGCACAGCCTGCTCTCCTGTCTCAGCATAGACGTGAAGTCACAGCAGTTGATATGGTCAGGGAAGAGCTTTGTGGGTGGGTTAGTGGACCGCATCTGCTGTTAGCTAAAACTCATGTGTGTTCCTGTTTTGCTCTGCCCCAGTGACATGACAAGAGCGGTGGAGATTTCTGGGGAAGGAGACCCCCTGGGGATACATGTGGTGCCCTTCTTTTCATCTCTGAGTGGACGGTAAGGTGTTTTCCTTGTCTCTGAAGCTCAAGCTAATGCCTTTTCCAGGAGAGAGTTAAGTGGCAGTCTCTTATTCAGAGGGACTCCTTAAGTAATACTTTGCTTGGCCTCATGCTTTAGAAACAGACTAAAATCGTTTATTTCTAGGATGCACAGAAAAAAATCATGCCAATTTCTCCACTTACAATTAATTATGAAGCACTTCCTTGGAGCATCCTTGAGTGCTGCGGCGTAAACAAGCTCCGTGGCAAAGATTCTAACATATTGTCAGACAAATGTCACAGCTGAGTGGGGCGTTCTTTACTATAATAAAATAGTCTTCAATGAGTGAAGATAGCAATTCTAAATTCTTCATATATGGGATGAAGAATGATAAGCATTCACAGTCTAGTAGCTTTATTGGCTGCACACACATGTACTGATTTTAGTTATAGAAATGTATTATCCTGTTAGTTTTTCTAAAATACAGTTAAGACCACGAAAGACAATTCGTTACATCCTTTTAGAATTTTAAAGACATTTTCTGATAAATTCTTACTGGCAAATGTTGATTTAGGTTGTGTCAATGCTTCTTGAATATAAAAACCTGTTCAGCTGATTAGAATGAAGTGGGTGCCGCAAAGCTGCCGTTACTGCTAGGATAATGACTTGATGGACCTTCTGGTTGGTGCATGCCAACTTTGACAAGGGGGTTGCTATAGCACCCCCTTGATCCTAACAAGGATTCCCAAAAATCTTAAGGAAAATTGGCTTTTTACTAACAGGGTGTGATTATAACCAATTGCCTAAATCCCCTTTCTTAAATGGGTCATTGAAAAGTAAGAACATTTTATTTTATCCCAATATATTAAGGGCCAGAAAAGCCCAGTGATCATTTTTTTTCCCTCACAGTCACCAAAACTGAGATCTCTGACTTGTCATTCTTCCCTGTCTCTTTCTAGAAACACAATTTTCCCAAAGGTTATATAGTATGAATTTACTGGCTCTGGATATTTACTCGATTCAGCTGTCCATATCGAAGGAGAAGTGGCTGTAGGCATGATATTTGGGTTGGCACCATCCTTAGCAGGTAGCCATCTGCTACCTGTAATTGCAAAGTCACCACCTTAGCTTTCTCCCATATAACATCTGATGCCAAGCTCTTGCTGGAATGAGCCGTTGTCTCTAAAAGGAAATGAAGCGGAAAGCCAGTGGCTCTTACTATCTGGTTTCTGTTGTGTGTTAATAAGTGTGTTTATATGTTATGGGTTACGGCAGAGGACAGACCCGAGTTGTTTCTGACAGACAAGGTGAGTATTTATTCACTTCCCAGGAGAAATCCTAATGGCTTTTGGCAGAAGTGTACTGATAGAGCTCTGTGAAATGCCAGAGTGGTTAAATTGCCAGGCTCTTTAGTTTAATAAACCTGGAATAGAACATAGAATCTTTGCAGTTCCCCCAAATGAAAAAAAAAATCCACAGTGACATTCACCATCCTTCATCTTCAATAGTTCAGAAAACAAGCTGGCCCTCTAGATGAGAAATTCCCTCCTTTTGCTTCTGATGAGGGGAACAAACAGGATGTATTGATCCCTGCCTTCTTTGGGGTTCTGACTCCTGGCACATGTTGTCCTCACATAACCTCCAGCTAGCCCTGAAACTCATCTGTAGTGAAAACCTTCTGCACCTCAATGTTATGGGGTTTAAATGACATTAAAAGTGTGATAGCACCTTGTAAACCCCACAACCTATGAAATGCAGAGATGTCAGTGAATGTTTTGTATAAAGAGAAACAGTCTGATTCCCAAATGAGGATTCATTATAAGTTCATGGTCAATTCTACAGTGACTTGAAGAAATGGTTCTATTATATTTTGGGGTATCCACTACTGTTTTAGAAAGGAAATTTCATTAAAAATATATGGAAATGGAGACATGAGCCAATAAAAGTTAAGAAGTAATGAGCACAGGCTGAAACAGCACACTTAACTCAACCCATGTGTCTTGATGGAACTCTATAGAGCGAGTCACAAGAGTGTCTGTCTTCAGGCTGCCATCTGGCTTCACTGTGTGAGTGCAGGGGTTTGCTTAGGTCGTAGTGGTATGCTTAGCTCTTAATTTCCTTCCATTTATTAGTTTGTTTCATTATTTAAAATTAGAATTTACATTTAATGCTTTATTAAGACTACTGTAATTGGCTTTGCTTCCAGTGTTTTGTTTTGTTTTTCATTACGTGAGAAACTTACTCTAAGAACATCTGAGTAACACCTGGAGGCCACTTCACCAGCTGAAGTCCCCATGAATTCATTAGATTCCCAAAGTATGGGAACACTGAATACCGCTTCTGTTGATGGCTATTGGCTTTCCCAGTTTTGTTTGTTTTGATTTTGTTTTAGTAAAGAAAATAAACACAAAAGACTAAGCCCTTACAGACAAATAAAAAAAATTACAACATTAATTTTATTTTTAAATGTCAATTAAACTTTAAAAATTTAAGCAGTAATTTTTTCACTAAAAATAGGTAATGTACTTCCATTTCATAATAAAAATAGCTAACCAGCTAAAGGGAAGGGAGAGGACAAGATTCCCAATGTGAGGAGGGGACTTTGAGTGACAGGTGGTGAACTGGCAGGATAGTACAGCCAATGGATTTAGTGAGAACACAGGGCAGGCACAAGGGTCAGACACTAGAATCTAAGTGGTGATTACATGAGGGAGAAACACTTGTTGTTCCTCAGCCTGCTGGGAGATTGAACTCTGAGCATCCGTTAGCACTACAGATGAACCGGTTGTCTTACCCTGTGATTGCCCCACAGCCTTGTTAACTCCGGTAAGTTCTTATCTCAAATAGGGCAGCTATCACCCTTCCAGGAGGCAAAAGTAGATACTGTTTTATAAGCTTTCTCACAGTGGTAGAGATGACATCATACTGTAGGGAATTTACCCCTTTCGGATAATAGGGAGGGGAAGGATGTATTTGTTGCTGGGGACCAAACTAATGAAATCAGTCAGCTTTACATTTTACCAAAATTACCTCTGACACAGGTTTTACAGTTGGGCTTATTCTGTCAATAAATTTTTCATGGCAAGTTAGGTTATTTAGATCAGCGAGGTTCACGTAGCATGCTCCAGCTGTAATACGCTAGCTAAATTGCAACCCAGTGGCCCGAAAGAATTAATTCATCTCCAAAATGTGAAATTAAATCCTAGGGAGTAACATTACATGACTGATGATGTACTGAATTAAATTAAAGGAAGACTTGAATGCTTGTTAAAAAGAAATCACTTACATAAACTAGTTTATAACCACACGTGAGCCTCCTAATGGGTCATGTTAAGGGGAAGCCACCGTAAACAAAAATCTAAAGTGTGGACTATCAGAGAGCAGTTTAATTTCAGAGAAAACACAATCTTGATCTAATTCTCCCTTCTTCATGTCAGATAGTCTCACGTTAGTGTTGTCTGTAATGTGTCTGCTTCATTTAGTAAAGTTCTAGAGCTGGGGTGAAGCCCAGACCCTGTCCACACTGGCCAGGATGTCAGCAGCAGCAAAAGCACACTCTTCTCATTAACATTTCCGAAGGAGGAGCCTGAGTACCATTGTGTGCACCTTGAGATGGTCTGAGCTCATTAAGTGAACTGAGACCAGAGGCTGAGGCTCAATTTTGTGGCCACTCCAGACAGAGAAGTACTTTCTCCTGGGCTTTCATTACAGGCTGCCCTTTTTGCATGGGTGACCTTATTATTCACACATAAAATGTGCTCATATTTTATTTAGATTTGAAATTTAACACGCAAAGCTCCTACTCAAAAGAGAGTGACTAAATAGAATAATAAGGGGACAGAGAACATGGAGGCAGCAGTTTCTCCATACCCAGCGATATCTCTAGAGACCCATCACTCTTAGTGTGACACTCAGTGAGGCCTGTGTCATGCCACAAAGATAAAGGACATCGCCCAAGTGAGAAATGGCTAAAATCAGTAGAGGCTTCATTTCTTGAGGTAGATTTATTTTTGCTTTATATAAGAATGATAAAGATTGCATGTGAGAACACACATATGCACATGTGCACTTCTAGCCTGCATGTGAATTCTAGAGTCCAGAAAATTCTCACCCACAGCAGTTTTGACTTGCTGTAGGCTGAAGATACCAATAAAATCTTTTACCCATACTGAGTACATACAGGTGTTTTAATGTTATCATCCCCCTATACATTACATTAGCTACTTACATAGCATTTACATTGTTCTGGATTTTGTGGGTAATTTAGAGATAATTGAAATGTACATAGGGATGCAAATACTAAGCCATTTTTCATAAAGCTTCCACAGAATTTGGTACCCAAAGGGGATCCTGACAACCTCCATGGATGTGGGAGAGTTATATAGGAAATCATTTGCTGTCATTTCCTTTGTCTTTTCCTTCCCTCTCTGACTCTGAACTAAATGTCCAAATCTCTAGGAGCCCTGGGGTATCTGCTCTGACTCTGAGGTTGGCTGTGGTCACCTGCTTCATCAGGTTAGGCTCATTGCCTGATACATGAAGATCCCTCCAGATGGTGTGGGCCTCCCACCCAGTGTTAGTTTGTAAACCCTAGCATGGCTCCATATTGTGCCTGTGTTTGGAACTTTTACTTTACCTTATTTATGTATGTCTGGTCCTCCATCTTTACTTCCTGTCCTCCAGCCTGAGAGAGAACACCTGACGTGGGCTTGATTCAAAGGCGCGAATGAATGGGATGGATATGCCTTCTAATAACAGGGTCTGAACTGAAATGTTTGTCTACTTTTTAATATGCAAACTGTTAGAACATGCACTATGGTGGCAAAACATGCTGAGAATGTGTGATTCTCCCACATCACCAGTACCAAATTTCTACCTCGCCACTCAGGCGGACTTCCTTTCAGTCAGCAGTGGCATCTCCCCTGAAGCTGCCAGTCCTGGGTGGAATGGTCTCTGCTGATTTTCCTAGATAATGGAAAACATAGAAATGGGTTGGTATTTATGATATGAATATTTGTTCCAGGTAGAGGTGTGTATGTGCGTGTATGTGTGTATGCCCCTCTTCCCTCTCATTCTGTGTGTGTGTGTGTATGTGTTTATGCGTGAATTTGAAAGATGAAACATTTGGCCAAATAGAAGTATAATCTATTTAGTAAACAGAAACCAATACTTATTTCTGAATAGCTATGGAAAAGAAATAATGAGCACATTTGTACTCTTTTGTCGGGGTTTTTTGTCCTACCTGGTTCCTGCAATCATTAAGTCCCTCCCCCCCCCAAAAAAAATCACACATTGGTCTACTTTAGTTATAAACTGACTGGCCCATTAGATCAAGCTTCCCTATTAACTCTTATAACATATATTAGCCCATATTTCTTATCTGTGTTAGCCACATGGCTCAGTATCTTTTTAGGTGGGGAAGTCACATCTTGTTTCTTCTGTGGCCAGGTCACAAATGCACAGGAATGGGCTTCCTTCTTCCCAGAATCCTCCTGTTCTCATTGACCCACCTCTACTTCCTGTCTGGTTGTCCCACCTATACATGGCTACTGGCCAATTAGCATTTATTTAAAATATAATTGACAGAAACAGACCATGGTCCCACACTAATACTCAGAAGTTTTATTTCAACGTAAATGTTTCTAGGATCCTAGGACTCTTCATCCGAGGCATTGAAGAACACAGCAGATGCAAGCAGGAAGGACTGTTCCAGGAGAATGAATGCATCGTAAAAATCAACAACGTAGAACTCCTGGACAAAACTTTTGCTCAGTAAGCATTTTTTTCATTATTTATCTACTTTATTGATCTCTTGAATATTTATAATCATTGTTGAGCTCATTATGCCCAAAATCAGAGATGTAACGTCAAGCCAGTTCCCTTTAAGTAACCCCTGACCATACATTTTTGAATGCATTTTATGTCTTAGGTGGCCAAGACACGTGCCCAATGTCTGTAGGGAGGTTGAGACAGAGAATACGGCGAGCCTTCTTGCCTGTCTGTCTTTCTGGGCATCCACGAATAAAGGAATTTGTTTTTCGTAGCCTATGGGTCAATTAGAATGGGGTTTACTGGCTCTTTTCACAGACAATTAATTCATCTTATTAATTAATATCCTTGATGTCGTTTTTCCCTAAACTGTAAAATCTGTGGGTGATGCCTATAAGGACTCAATGAATAATAGAAACAAATTATAAAAATTAAATTTAAAATGCTCTACCAAAAAAGTTATCTTTCTGAGTGTGAAAAATATCACAAGGAGTACCTGTTTCTATGCACAAATTAGAATATGTAGACTCCAGCTGCATCTAGCTGTACACATCTACATATACACACATATACATTGATATGCCTTGACATTTCAGGGCTTCTAAGTTAAGCAAACAAGTAGTAACAATCTTCATTAATAATCAGTTTCCTGTCTTGCTTCTGAGCCAAACTGCTCATAACACAGCTTCTCTCTGGCCATTAATTGTCAATAGTGGGGGCTGGTGGTTGCTAGTCAGAGGCATGTAACACTGGCTGCTGCTCAGGGGTAGAATGAAATGATGTTTTTCTAAAACAATGCGTTACATTCAACTATTATAGGGCAGAGTCATGTTTCTCACATATTTTGCCTGCCCTGTTTTGCAAAGACTAAGGAATCCAATGATCCCTGTTTTACCAAAGTAGAAACTGAGTCATAAAACTCCAACTTAGAGTCCACTAGAAATAATCTATTAACAATGTGATTTTAAAAGGGTCTTAAATATGTGCTTAAGTAATCAATTCTGGCTAGATTTTCATATTTAGAAACTCTTTAAAGATGACCGTTGCCAGTTAAGTTCTTTAGTGGCTCTGTGCTTCCACTTGAATTTGTTGAATGCGAGTGGGTTATATTTGTTTTATATGGCTGTTAAGAAGAATGAGGTAGAGGACTATACACGGTCATCACGCATGTGTAGCTCGTGTGGAGGAGGCACCTTGGTGGGCGGGTGGTAAACAGAGCCATGCTGCAGCGATTATCCCGCCGCCTCCTAGCCTTACTGACAAGGCTGCCTTGTCAGTCCCGCACCTGAGCACCCCAGCAAGCCGTGTGCCGGAACACATTGTCATTCTCCGCTCATTCACTCCTTCAAGGGCCCAGGATGTCTTCCGCCAGGCGATGAAATCCCCCAGCGTGGTCCTCCACGTGCTTCTGCCTCAAAACCGTGAGCAGTATGAAAAGTCAGTCATTGGTCCACTGAACATCTTTGGCAACAATGATGGGACTTCAAGAGCAAAGGTTCCACCTCCTGCCCGTGGGAAAGCAGCTTTGCAGGCAGCAAATCTCGCTGGAACTCACAGTCCTGAAGCAGATGAGACGATTTCCCTGCAGCAAAGCAAGAGCCCCCGAGTTCCAAGGCTAGGAAGAAAACCTTCATCTCCCTCACTATCCCCTCTCATGGGGTTTGGCAGCAAGAAAAATGCAAAGAAAATTAAGATTGACCTAAAGAAAGGTAATCATTGAATTGTGCTTAATAGCATTCTGTTATTGTACCGTGTAAAACTGGTTAAGAGAAATTCATTAAGGTTGATGTAGTTAATTCTCTTTTTCTTTAATTGTATCATAGAATAGATTTGAGTGTATACTTGGATAACTTAATTTTTTTAAAACTGTGCTACTTTCTTCCTTTCTTCTGCAAAGTTTTGATTATGTGGAACAAGGAAAAGTGAGGACTGGGGTGGATCAGTGCAGACTTGAGAAAAGCATGTGACAGCTCAATTCCGAGTAGACCCGGGAGGTTGATTGTTTTCATTTTGAGCATAAGTTAGTGTTTTTTTGTTTGTTTGTTTGTTTGTTTGTTTGTTTTTAAAAAAGCATCCTTTAGGCCAGTTCAGGAATAGGGCCTCTGGCTCTACACAATGGTTTTTATATCAGTGAAAGGTTTAATTTTCAGAAAGACAATAGGTAATGATTATTAATTTCAGATTCAACATTACATTTCTTCAAGATAGTCCAAGTTCAAAGTTGCATGCAGCCTTTCTTAATCTTTTTCAATGTTTTGTTCATTCCCAGCACAGAGCAATTATCCCAGACCACATGTGTACGTGCATATTAACATAGCATTACATACGTGCCCATGGACCCATGGACTGTTGTGTCCCTGCTCATTCCTTACCCTTCCACCTGATATTCTGATATCTACCTGTCACTTCATAAAATCCTGTGGTTTTTCAAGCCAATTCGGAGACTTGAATAGGTTTATTTTCTCACAAATTAATACTTTATTGGCCACCATGAAACCTTTAAATATTATTTGTGAATTTCAAAAACAACACATATCTTTCATTAGGATGTAGAAATTATTCTGAAAAGATTTCTTAATCAAAATTTTATTCACTTATAAATATCTGGCCTTGGGAATAAAGTGAGTTGAAAAGAAGACACAGAGGTCAATATGTTTATATTTAAATGCATTACAAATAAATCATGTCCAAATGCATTGTTGTATACCAGTTACCCAGCCATGGTAGGTGCTTTGAGATAAGAGTGAGGAATCCGTCACAGAGTCCTGAAATGATATTCTGAAGAAGAGAGTGGATCAACAAGGGTGAAACTGTAATTGGCATGCCTTAATAGATAAATGGTTGTAGGAAGGAAGAAAGAAAAATTACACTTTTTGCTGAGGTTTGTCAGCCGGGGCGAATTGCATACTGGAAATGTCATTGATTGAAATTAGAGTTTTAAGCAGATGAGGATATTTGATAATGGCAGGATCTGGACTGAAGAAGGAGAAACGTCGCAAAGTTTGAATATGCATAATTACATTCAGGAAAAAGAGAGAAACATGGAGACACAGAGAGAGATGGAGAGGTGAAAGGAGAGACGGCAAATGAACCAAATAGATGCTAGCTCTGGTCTATAAAATGATGGTAATGATTGATAATGAAGCAAGGAGCTGATAGAGGCTGTGGTGACAAGAGGGGGACCCGGCCCTGTACAGATCGTTGGGCATTATCTGTGTCTATGTGAGAGAACAATGCTGTGTGTTCTCGGGTGACAGACATGGTATGATGAGAGAGAAATGAAAATCAAAAATGTTCAAAATTATAAGAGAGATTATTTTTAAAAATGAAATTAGAAAGTAACAAACGTTGATAAAAGATAAATCCAAATAAAGAAAAAAATTCCTGGTGACAATCATAGAAGTATCTGTCAGCTTTCTAATACTATAAGAAGGGATATGAAACAGGAGAGAATTTGGGCTCACAATTTTCGAAGTTTCAGTCCAGGGCTAGTTAGCAACTTACTTTGAGACCTATAACAAAGCAATGGAGCATGATGGGAATGTATGGTAGAGCAAGAATCTTACTTTCTAGCAGCCCCTAAGCAAAGAAAGAGAAACATGAGGGCCGAGGGGGGGCCATATCTCCTTCATGTCGTGCCTGGAATGACCTAATATCCTTCTACTATGCCCCATTCCCTAAAGGCCCTACTACATCCCAATGTGTCACAGGCTGGAGGCATGGGTCTTTGTGGAGTTCTTGTCCAAACCACAGCAGTTTTTTATTCGTGGTAGAAGCTTCCAGAAACACTAATCATTGAGTACAGATTATTTACAGTTAAGAAATCCACATACATCTTTAGTCACAGTAGAAGAGAGAGAGAGAGAAGTTAGAGATTTAAGACAACTGGGAAGGGACAGCAAAACTCTTGGGGACCATACAGTGGCTACAGCAGTAAAGCAATCAGGACACATGCAGAGGGTTCAGCCACAAAATACTCAGTTGATTGAGAGACCCACAAAACCCCAACAGAGGGAATCAACTGCTTGGGAGGAAAGATGGAGTCAAGAGGTAGATTACTGAGGAACTGATACTATGGACATGTGGATGGCATGCCTTGTCTTCTAAATCCCGAATAAACAAAGTGTTGTTATATATTGGATCCTAACTTCACTTTGATGCTCTCATTGGTTCAGAATTATAACCTTTACTTAAAACAGGAAAAGCAAAGCCTGTGTAAAATCTCTGAGAATGTAAATAAGACTTGGTCTGCTTGAATTTAAACTAGGTGGAGTTTGCTAAAGGAGCGAATGTTATGTGACCCATGTTTAAGGGGACAGAGTTTACTAAATGAGTGACTGTCATTTGACCCATGCTTAAGGGGACACAGTTTACTGAGTGTATGTCATGTGACCCATGCTTAAGGGGATAGAGTATACTAAATGAGTGAATGTCATGTAACCCATACTTAAAGTGACAATACATCTTTCTGGTATTGTATGCTAGGCCCTGAAGGACTTGGTTTCACTGTGGTAACCAGAGATTCTTCTATACATGGTCCTGGTCCCATTTTTGTAAAAAACATCTTACCAAAGGGAGCAGCAATAAAGGATGGACGCCTACAATCAGGGGACAGAGTTTTGGAGGTAGGTTGAAGTTAATGTATCCAGGCAAATATTTCTTTATATTTAACTAAATAAATATACAGATATATATAGCAGTCACTTGTTGTCTCTTGTTGGTCCCAGTACCCTCCCAAACTATAATATCTGCATGCTATATACCTTCTTCTGCTCTAGGACATCAAAGAGAATAGGCAGGAACCAGAAACGTCTGAGCGTGAGTCTAAGATTTCTGAGGAATTAAGCCTGAGCTAGGTCCTCTGTGGGTTTGGGCACACCCAAGCCTGGCAACTCCAAGGGAGTAGACTGGAGCCAGAGACCTTTGCAGAACCAACTCCAATCCACGGACTTCTGCAGGAGGGGATCCAGACCAGGATTTACAGAAACAGGTCAAAGCCAGTAATGAAGGCCAAGGTAGGAAGCAGAGCAAAGCCTGGGAGCACTAAGCAATCTCTAGGAACACAGGGTAACTAGAACCATGGCACTGACTGTACCACAAGGAACAACCATCTGTGCTTTGGATTCACTGGCACCTAGAAGATTAATCAACAGAATAACAGACAGCCCCAACCACACCAATTAGAGGAAAAGATACGTAAAAGTGGTAAGAACACATTCAACACCACAAAGAGCAACACAACACCAGTAAAACCTAAAGACCATACAACAGCAAAACGTGAATAACCAAATATAGATGAAACAGGTAAAAATGACCTAAAAAAATAATTTCAGGAGAATGTTTGAAACTCTTAAAGAGGAAATGAGAATTCCCTCAAAGAAATGGAGGAAAAGACAAACAAAAAATTGGAAGACATCAGCAAATCCCTTAAAGAAAACCAAGAATAAACAATCAAATATATGAAAGAAACTATTCAAGACTTGAAAACTGAAATAGAGACAATAAAGAAAACACAAGCTGATGAAATTATAGAAACAGAAATCATGAGAAAAAGATCAGGAACCACAAACTCAAGAATGAACCACAGAATACAAGAGATGGAAGAAAGAATCTCAAGTGCTGAAGATACAATAGAGGAAACAGACTCATCAGTCAAAGAAAACATTAAATCTAACAAAAGCTTAACCCAAAATATCAGGATAAATGGGACACCATGAAAAGGCTAAATCGTAGAACAGAAGGAGTCTAAGTTCAACTCAAAAACACAGAAAATATATATAACAAAATCATAGAAAACTTGCCCAACTTAAAGAAAGATATGCCTATGAATATACAAGAAGTTTACAGAACACCAAATAGAATGGAACAAAAAATGTCCCCTTGCCACATAATAATCAAAACACTAAACATATAGAGTAAAGAAAGAATATTAAGAGCTACAAAGGAAAAAGGCCAAGTAACATATAAGGCAGACCTATCAGAATTACACCTGACTTCTCATTGGAGACAATGAAAGTTATAAGATCATGGTCAAGCATTACGCAGACATTAAGAGACCATGAATGTCAGCCCATACTACTATACCCTGCTAAACTTCCAATCACCAGATTTAACCAATAACTAGCCACAAACCCAGCCCTACAGAAAAATACTAGAAGGAAAACTCCATCCCAAGGAAGTTGGCTACACAGACAATTGATGGTCTCATTGCAAAGAAGGAAAAATGCACAAATTAACATCATCAACAATTAAAACTAAATTAACAGGAGATAACGATCACTGGTCCCTTAATATTAATTTTAATATCCCTTAATATAAGTGGACTCAACTCACCTTTAAAAAGACACAGGCTAACAGATTGGATATGAAAGCAGAATCCATCCTTCTTCTGCATACAAGAAACATATCTTAACCTCAAAGTCAGACATCATCTCAGAGTAAAGGTTTGGGAAAAAATATTCGAATCAAATGGACCTAAGAAACAAGTGGGTGTAGCTATCCTAATATTTAAGAAAATAGACTTCAAGCTAAAATCAGTCAAAAGAGACAAAGAAAGTCATTTCATTCCATCAAGAGGAAATCTCAATACTGAACATCTCTGCCCCAAAGACAAGGGCACCGTTGTATGTAAAAAAAAATACTTCTAAAGCTTAAATCATACATTAAACTTCCCACACACTTCAACTCTACCCCTATCACCACTGGACAGATCAGTCAGACAAAAAAAATGAACAGAGAAATAAGGGAACTAACAGATGTTATGACTCAAATGAACTTAACAGACATTTGTTGAATATTCTATCCAAATGGAAAAGAATATACCCTCTTCTCAGCACCTCATGGAATCTTCTCAAACATTACCCACATACTCAGTAACAAAACAAACCTCAACAAATACAAAAATATTGTAATAACCCCATGTATCTAATCAGATCACCATGGTTTAAAACTAGAAGTCAACAGCAATACTAATTCCAGAAATTCCACAAACACATGGAAACTAAACAATGCTCACCTGAATCATCAATTGGCCAAGGAAGAAATAAAGGGAGAAATTAAACACTTCCTAAAATTCAATGAAAATTACCACACAACATACCCAAATTTATGGGACACAATGAAAGCATTGTTAAGAGGAAAGTTCATAGCACTAAATGCCTAGATGAAGAAGCTAGAAAAATCCCACACTAGTGAATTAACAAAACATTTGAAAACTCTAGAACAAAAGGAAGCAAACTCACTCAGGAGAACTAGATAGCAGGAAATAATCAAATTGAGAGCTGAAATCAACAAAATAGAAACAAAGAAAACAATACAAAGAATCAATGAGACAGAGTTGGTTCTTTGAGAAAATCAACAAAATAGACAAATCTTTATCCAAACTAACCAAAAGGCAGAGAGAAAATATCCTAGTTAACAAAATCAGAAATGAAAAGGGGGACATAATAGACACAGAGGAACTACATAGGATCATTAGTTCATATTTTTAAAACCTATACTCCACAAGGTCAGAAAACTTAAAGAAAATGGACAACTTTCTGGAAAATATCACCAATATTAAATCAAGACCAGATAAGAAAATTTAACAGACCTATAACTGCTGAAGAAATAGAAACAGTCATCAAAAGTCTCCCAACAGAAAAAGCCCAGGACCAGATAGTTTCAGTTCAGAATTCTACAAGATTATCAAAGAAGAACTAATACCAATACTCCTCAAATTATTCCACACAATAGAAACAGAAGAAACATTGCCAAACTCTTTTCATGACCCTACAATTACCCTGATAACCAAACCACAGAAAAACATTACTAAGAAAGTGAATTACAGACCAATCTCACTCATGAACATTGATGCAAAAATAATAAATAAAATACTGTCAAATCAAATCCAAGAACAAATCACAATCATCATCCACCATGATCAAGTCGGCTTTATCCCAGAGATGTAAGGATGGTTCAACATACAGAAATCTGTCAACGTAATCCATCATATGGTCTTTTCATTAGATGCTGAAAAAGCTTTAGACAAAATACAACATCCCTTCATGATAAAGGTCTTGGAGAGATCAGGGAAACAAGGAACATACCTAAACATAATAAAGGCAATATACAGCACACCAATAGCCAACATCAAACTAAATGGAGAGAAACTCCAGTAATCCCACTAAAATTAAGAACTAGACAATTTTGTCCACTCTCACCATACCTATTCAATATAGTTCTTGAGGTCCTAGCTAGATCAATAAGACAACAAAAGGAGATTAAGGGGATAAAAATCAGAAAAGAAGAAGTCAAACTCTCACTATTTGCTGATGATATGATAGTTTACATAAGTGACCCCAGAAATTATACCAAGGAATTTCTACAACTCAAAAACACTTTCACTACTGTAGCAGGATACAAGAGTAACTCAAAAAAAAAAAATAGTAGCCCTCCTGTACACAGATGATAAAAGGGCTGGGAAAGAAATCAGAGAAACAACCACCTTCACAATAGCCACAAATAGCATAAAATATCGCAGAGTAACTCTAACCAAACAAATGGAAGACTTATATGACAAGAACTTTAAAACTTTGAAGAAAGAATTTGAAGAAGACACCAAAAAGTGGAAAGATCTCCCATACTCTTGTGTAGGTAGAATTAACATAGTAAAAATGGCAATCTTAACAAAAGCAGTCTACAGATTCAATGCAATACCCATCAAAATCCCAGCAAAATTATTAACAGACCTTGAAAGAACAGTACTCAACTTCATATGGAAAAGCAAAAAACCCAGGGTAAGCAAAACAATCCTGTACAATAAAAGAAGGCATCACAATCCCTGATTTTAAACTCTACAGAGCTATAGTACTGAAAACATCCTGGTATTGGCATAAAAATAGACAATAAGACCAATGGAACTGAGTCAAAGACCTGGATATTAATCCACACACCTTCGAACACCTGATTTTTGGCAAAGAAGCAAAAAAATATCAAATGGAAAAAAAGAAAGCATATTTAACAATGGTGCTTTATATCAACATTTAGAAGAATGAAAAAACCCATATCTATCACCATGCACAAAACTCAATCCAAATGGATCAAAGACCTCAACATAAAGCCAGCCACACTGAATGAGCCTTACAGAAGGGAAAGTGGAAAGTACACATGAACACATTGGCACAGGAGACCACTTCCTAAATATAATCCCAGCAACACAGACACTGAGAGAAACAATTAATAAATGGGGCCTCCTGAAAATTAAAAGCTTCTGTAAAGGAAAGGACATGGTCAATAAGACAAAATGAAAGCCTACAGAATGGAAAAAAATCTTCACTAACCCCAAATCAGACAGAGGTCTGATCTCCAAAATATACAAAGAACTCAGGAAATTGATCATCAGAATAACAATTAATCCAATAAAAAAAAATGGAATACATACCTAAATAGAGAACTCTCAACAGAGGACTCTAAAATGGCTGAAAAACACTTAAGGAAATGTTCAACATCCTTAGTCATCAGAGAAATGCAAATCAAAACAACTCTGAGATTCCATCTTATACCTATAAGAATAGCCAAGATCAAAAACACTGATGACAACTTATGCTGGAGAGGTTGTGGGGTAAAGGGAACACTCCTGCATTGCTGGTGGAAATACAAGCTGGTAAAACACCTTTGGCGATTTCTCAGAAAATTAGGAAATAACCTTCCTCAGGACCAATAATACCACTTTTGGGTATATATTCAAAGGATGCTCAATCATGCCAGGGTGTCATGTGCTCAACTATGTTCATAGCAGTATTGTTTGTCATGGCCAGACCTGGAAACAACCTAATAATGGATAAGGAAAATGTGGTACATTTACACAATGGAGTACTACACAGCACAAAAAAAAATGACATCTTGAATTTTGCAGGCAAATTGATGGAGCTAGAAAACATCATTTTGAGTGAGGTAATGCAGGCACAGAAAGACAAATATCATATGTACTGACTCATACATGGTTTTTAAACATAAAGCAAAGAAAACCAGCCTACAATCCACAATCTCAGAGAATTTAGACAACAAAGAAGACACTAAGATATATAGATAGATAGATAGATAGATAGATAGATAGATAGATAGATAGATAGATAGATAGATCTAATCTAAACGGGAAGTAGAAAAAGACAAGCTTTTTTAGGTAAATTGAGAGCATAGGGATCTTGGGGGAGGTTTGAAGGGGAGCGGAGAGGCAGGGAGGGGAGCAGAGAAAAATGTAGAGCTCAATAAAAATCAATAAAAAAGTTTATCTTTAAGTATGTTTTGGAAACATTTTGGCAGTCCATGTAGTTCTAGATCAGGAAGGATGCTCCACCTGACATATTGAGCTCCGAGGCTGATGTCCAGTAACCTATGATAACCTGTTGATAACACTTTTCTAGACAAAAGGAACATTTGGGATTACACCAAAATACATGTACTTCTAGAGTAATTTTTCATAAGATAAATAATCCACTTCTGTATGGTATATTGCAATCCATTGCATACCTATTTAATGAATTAATGTGTGACATTTCTCAGTCTGATTTTCCCCTTGTAAATGTAATGACTTAGGAAAAAATTTCCAGTATAAAATAATTTATTGATTGACTTTGTCTAAGTATCAACATAATGATGCCCATTTTTATTGAAATATATATATTTGGCCATGTGGTTAGTATCATCCTTTCAGAGCTTCATGGAATTCATAAACCCATTTATTGCATATAATTCACAAAACAAAGAATTAAAAAAAATACCTAGGAGCTGTGCATGGTGGTACATGCCTATAATCCCAGGATTCAATAGCTCTGTCAGAAAGATCTGAGTTCATAGACAGCCTTGACTTTACAGCAATACATTGCTGCCAACTCAGCAAGACCTGTCTCAAATAAAAGGACCAGGGGAGGTGATAGGAAATGTTCTAACTGTCGATATGTATGTGGTTCTGCTCACTAGGTAAATGGCAGAGACGTCACAGGAAGAACTCAGGAAGAGCTTGTAGCCATGCTGAGGAGCACCAAGCAGGGAGAAACAGTATCCCTGGTCATTGCCCGCCAAGAAGGGAGTTTCCTGCCCCGAGAGCTGGTAATGTTCACACCTCTGTCTCCCTGAACTTTCAGAGCTGTGATTAGCATCCATGTGGAACTCCCACTAGCTGAGTACTGGTTAGCATCCATGTGGTTCTCACACTGGCTGAGTACTGATGCTAAATATAGACTGTGTTCAGAGCAAATGTTTGGAATGTATGTGTTATCCCATTGGATCCGATTTGGAGTACCAGACTTGTAGGACTACTGAAGAACTGGAGGGGTGGGGGGCAGTATATATACACAGCACAAACTCAAATAGATTTTGATAACAAATAGCTCTGCAAGAAAGTCAGTAAAACATATATTTGTGTTGAAATTGTGAACTAGATGAGCAACAGAGTTCATCGGTCTCCTTTAATGAGTATTCTAAGTATGGATAACTAGGGAAGCTGGATGAGGAATGTGCAAATAATGTACTATTGTGACATTTTTCTCTAAGTCTACAACTGTTTTAAAATTTAACAAATACATAAAAGAAATAACTTCAAAAGAGGTAGCTATATGGGCACTAGGCCTTTTATACTAGCCTATAGACCCTCCCTGTTCTTCTATATAGGGTAATTCCATGTAAAGGTTATATGCATATATTTTAAGAAGCTTCAAAAGGTCTTTAGAGTTAGTCACCCCTCCTATTCTTCCTCCTCAACTCTCTAAACCCACCTAGTTTAACCTTTCCAGTTTCAATATTTCTTCAAGGACCACTTATACACTGTATTATATCTCCCTCCCTTGAAATCTCCCTTGATGACACACACGTGCCACTTTGTGTTTCTTTAATACCTTCTTGACTTCTGTGGGTTATATAAAGAAAGGATACAAAGCTGAAATTTAAATCTATCATCTACATATAAGAGTAAACATGTGACATTTGACTTTCTGGATCACCTCACTCAGGGTGATGGTGTGTGATGTTTTTTATTTATTTATAAGTTTTATTCATTTACCTGTAAATTTTGTAATTTTGATTTTTTTAACAGATGAACAATATCCCATTGTATAAGTCTACCACATGTTCATTATCTAGTCCATGGTTGATGGACATCTAGGCTGTTGACATGTGCTGGATATTGTGAATAGAATAGCAATTAACACACATGAGCAGGCATTGCTCTAGTAGGATATGGGGTCTTTTGGGTATATGCCCAAGAGTAATATAGTTGGGTCATGTGACAGATATGTGTCTATCCTTTAAAGAAACCTCCACACTGACTGCAGTAGTGGCTGTAGCCGTTTTCACTCCCACTTGGAGTAAGTATCCCTATTCCCCACACACATAGCACCATGTGTTGTCTCTTTTATCTTAGGTGTTCCGATTTTTGGAGTTGTTGGCCGCTGGGCTTGCATAGACCCACAAACATTAGAGAGTTTTGCCATTACTCTTGGTTAACCCTCAAAACATGGCAGAAAGACCCTATTGCTGAAGATACCACATATGTGAGTGAGAAAACATGGAGAAATCAATTAGTACAACCAGGAATGTGGACTGCCTAACTTCATAGTGCTGGAAGGTGCTCCCCACACTACCGTCAGAGAGTAATCACCAGTCTCCCCTGTCTGTGGTCTCTAGCTGCAATAATGAATGGTCTTGCAAAATATGCCTCCAGTGGATGTTTAGGAGTAACCAAACACTTTGTCACTGGACTGAATTCTCATCCACAAGAAGGAATCCATACCTGGCCCTGTTAGAACCTGTGTGTCCTTAGGTCATAGACCCTACTTTAATTTACTCCTATTATTCCACTAAATGGACATAGTATTAAACTGGCTCCTAAGAACTTATTGCGATAATCATAGATTAGAGCAGCTCTTGACTCTCAAGAAGCTGCTTCTTATAGAAAATGATGATTAACTTGGAGAACTATAACTGGTCAACCTATGGAGAATAAGAGACTTCTGAATTCTCAGTCCTAAATGGAACATTTGTATCACACACCTCCCCCACAAAGTTCAGGGGTCATTGCCGAAGAGGGGGGCAGAAAAATTCTAATGGCCAGAGGCAGTGGGTGATTGCAGTGGGAGATGAATCAGTTTTCTGAACGAAACAGAGCAGTTCCATGTATGAACTCACAGCAGTTGTGACAGTGCAAACAAAACCTATACAAGCTCAAACAAGACAAAATCCCACCATGGAGGGGGAGAGGGGGAAGTGGGCGGGAAGTTTTATTCCTAGCTGAATAACTATTGGCGTGGGTAGCTTCTGCAAGAAGGTGGATAAGTTTTCTTTAAAGGTGTCCATGGTCAGACAAGCATGATCAAGGGGTTGGCGCTATACCCGAGAGCAACAGAAACTGGAGTTAGTGGGGTTTTGAAGAAAGAAAAGAAAGAATGAAAGAAGGGAGGGAGGAAGGGAGGGAGGGAGGGAAGAAGAGGAGGAAGTTGGAGAGTTTGGGGAGTAGGATAGATCTGGGAGGAATTCAGGGAGAGGTAATCAAACTATATTGCATAAAAATGTCCCTTTATTCAAGGGGACATGAGTTATGAAAAGAATAAAAAGCTACTTTTCCTTTTAGTTCTGGGTCTGTCATAGATTTTTGTTTTGTTTTGGCAGTGAATAGGTGTATAAGATATTTTTGATACAAAGAGTGTAAAATTTAATGTGAAGTTACACAGTCATTCTGAATGCCTTTTCTAACTGTATCAGTATTTATTAAGTTGTATGACTTTAGGTCTGGTTAATTGTGGTGTATGATGTTTTTATTTGTTTATGCTTTTTATAGTAAAGTATATAAAAGTAATTTTAAAATAGATTCTTAAAGAATTAATAAAATATTACTTAGAAGAGAAAAATTCAATGAATAAAAATACACATGAGGACCGTGAAGGAATCTGCAGAGCACTGCAGTCACCTGATAGAGGAGTTCAGCCGGCTCGATTTCAAGTCATGAAAAATGAATCTTTTCCACCCAGAAACTACTCAGCTAGTAATTTTTTTAATTGATGATCAAAGATGTACAAATATTTATGTACATTGATTTTTCCCCTCATATAGCATAGTAACATGTTTGATGTGTACAACGATAAGCTGTTGGTTAGATAAATAACTAAATATTTATTTCTCCAGTGAAATATAATCAACTACTTTAAATGGTATTATTGAAGAATTATTTATAATTTGAGAAAATCCATAGCATAAACTAATTAAGATATAGGGCATAAAATATAAATGATAAATTATCTAATTATATAGAGGCTTGAAAAACAATTGGGAAGAAGTACACCTAAAATGTTTGTTAACAATGAGAACCTATTTATTTATCGAAATACTTTGCTTTTAGGATGATTATAGAAAATTTAAAAGAACATTTATATGTAAGGGCAACAAGAAAAAGATGATATGATAAATAGGACTCTTGTTCACCTCTTGTTTTGAATTTGTCTTTCCTTTGAATCTGAAGGAACTAACAAGGGCTTATATAAGTGGCAGGAGGGGTTGTCAGAGGTAAGTGAGCAACTAGGGATTAGTGGCTATTGAGGGGCAGTTTAAAGATATTGTTATCAAATATGTGAAGTGGTGTTGCATGGACTGGAAAATGAACTTACCACCTTTCCTGAACCATTAATCTATTAATCAGCTTAAGCATCCATTCAATGAATCGCCTACTATCTTCTCAGTACAAAGTTGGAGAATCTAGGAGTACAAAAATAATTCAAACTCATTTTCAGCTCATTTTGTGCTTGACCCAAAGCAAATGGTTGGAAGAGGGTATTGTTATAAGAACTTCTCAACCATGCAAATGCACAAGGAGGAAATTGAATTACTTAGAATACCCAGCCTGCCTTACCATCTGCCAAGAATGTTGGACCCATGGAATGGTTCAGCAGGTAGAGACACTGCCTGGGAAACCTAGTGACCCGAGTTCTGTCTCCACGACACACACTATACACACCCCTGTTTATCTGTACTCTGACTTAGCTATTACACGTGCTTTGCACAGACCTGAGTATAGCCTTACTGCATCACTGCTATTCCCAGTATGCTCTGTGTCCTACTCACAGGTCCTCCCTTTTTCCCTCCAAGCATCTTTGGGCATAGAATTTCCATTCTATTTCTTTCCCATTGTCCCATTTCCCTGTTACACACTGTGGGAAGATCGACAGTAAAAAGTGCAAATAATGAAGGGGGTATCATGGGCAAAATAAACCACTATAACATGAGCCTCACTTCCTTTTGTATATTCTTCTCTATGGCCATCTATTTTCAAAGGCAGAACCTGAGGCTGCCTCATCTCTCATGTGGTCCCGTATTCTTTTCAAGAGAGATGATGAAGAAACCCAAAGTCCAGATTTTGTCCTCTGAAATATAGAGGGTTTTTTTTTTCAATCTTTCATTTATCCTCAGGGTTCCTCAAGGAGAGTCAAAGTGAAAAAAAAAGTATAATAAGAGTTGTTGTGTGTACAAACACTGGTACATTTCTTATTGTTCAATCCTCTGGGTGACAGAGATGAAAGTGGTCATAAAACCTCAGGAAGACTATGTGCATTTGCAGAAAAGAAGGAAGGAAGGAAGGAAGGAAGGAAGGAAGGGAGGAAGGAAGGAAGGAAGGAAGGAAGGAAGGAAGGAAGGAAGGAAGAGAGAAGAGAAAAAGAGAAAAGAAGGAAGGGAAAGAGGGAGAGAAGGAGGGAGGGAAGAACAAAGGAGAAAGAAAGGAAAGGAGGAGAGAGAGAGAGAGAGAGAGAGAGAGAGAGAGAGAGAGAGAGAGAGAAACTTTGACCTTTCCATGAGCTATGATTCTGGAAGGAATAAAACTCTCCACTAAAGAGAGACATTTGAACTGTCCTTTCCTTTATCAAAATGAAACTAAGTGACAAAGCTCTCACTGGCTGCTTAAACCCCAGAAACTTCCATTCCTACCTGATAACTCCTTTAGCTCCCTCCCAGATCTTCTGGAATTCCTGACTCCAAGGCTAATCCCCATCTTCTAGAAGCCTTCCTTCATCTTCCCCTACATAAGAAGGAAAAAAAGTAATTTTGAGTTCTCAACTCAAAAGATACTT